TTAGCTATGTGGGCAATCTCCCGCTTCCGCATGAGGTGGCACAGATAAAAATTATTCATACTGTTAGTAACAGCAAAACCACCCAAATGTCCAAAAGAACGTCCAACAACTGACTCCACCATGGTACATGCACACATGGCGTCTTAATTTATAAAGCAGTTAAAAAGCAAAAGGGAAAAGGCAATCTCCAGGACAAAGTAAGAAAAGGAATAGAGATATTTAGAATATGCTACCCTTTATGAAAGGAGGGGGATAGGCATAAAGGATAAACATACACTAGAGGCCCAGCAAACAAAAAAAGCCCAACTAAAGGATACACTAGAAGCAAACAAACAAACACAAAAAACAAAACCCCCCAAGAAATGCTACTTAACCCGGACAAAGAATGTGATGGGGGAGGGGAGCAAACGGACCTGTCTCTGTTAGGTAGACTTTTTGTTGACCATAGAATTTAATTACTTTTTTTTAATTCATCAGATTAATCTGTTAAAAACCAGACCCTGCACTTGAAAACAAACCGAAACAAATGAGCTGTACATTACCTTGGTAACATAATTCCTTGAATAAAGAATTTCAAATGACTTTAGAACAGAGAGCTTCCACTGTGTATGTTTAGTAGGACATGTTCTAAGGACAAAAATAGCTAAAGAAAATTTCCACTCGATGTAATATATTTATAGTTATTCCTAACTTGAACACTGTTTTAAAATATATCTTTAATCTGCAGGATAAAGCAAAGAAAATAAGTGCACGTTAACTTGCTTCAAATTTTTTACTATAAAATACACTTAGGAGTAAATTACTAGGTAAAAATGCTATACCATCTAAACTAAACTAGAATACTAATGAAGTCACGATTTTTAAAAATAGATTTTGTCATCGAGACGGCCTTGAATCAGTGTTATTCGAGCAGCAACAAGAGCACTGAGAACCCAGATCTTTTAAACCGTTCTCCTATAAAAGAAACCGAAGCTCCTAGGAGAAATGCCTAACCCAAGCCTGGGAGCAGAGTACTACTGAGAAAGCTTTCAAAGTTAAAAGGTGCTCAGGTGTGATCCTAGACCCCTAAAACATACAAATGGAGCTGCAGCAACATGGATGGAGCTGGAAGGGATCATGCTCAGCAAAATAAGTCAAAAAGAAAAAGAAAAATACTGGATGGTCTCACTCATAGCAGGAATTCAGAAAACCTAAATAAGGGACCAGGAAAAAGACTAATCAATACAAAGTAAAAATCAAAATCAACAAGCAACTATAAACCAGAGATTGGGGGGGGGGCGGGAGGACTAGAGTCAAAATAAAGGGTGTCTGCAATTGTATGGGGAATATAACCATAATGAAAATGCATACATTGTGCAAAGATGAAAAATGATGTAAGATTTATATAAAATATTAAAAAAAATAATAAAACATACAAATGCTATGAATCAAGGCTATCTCAATTACTGTAATTTTTTTTTACAAAAGGTTAAATCATTTTATGAAAGGATATCAAGTTAAAATGAGACCAGTCAGCTTGAGAGTGACCACAGGCTGAAGCAGTGATGAGTACCAGAAAGAAAACTAGCTGCCGTTCATTAGAAGACAACTTTAAAATGATACTTAAAGGAAAAAAACCGTGAAGACCATTCTGACACAATGAGTCATATTTTACATTACAACTTTGTGTATTTTACATTAATTACAATATAAAAGGAATTTTAAAAAGGAGAAAAGCACCACCTTGTAAACCCTTAAGAGATTACTGATTCAGTCAAGGATTATTTACTGGTGTTAAAACTATCCATGACTGTTGAGGAATGGACATTTTTACGTTAACTATGTAAATAAAGCTCAATAAGATTACATTTTGGTCACACAGTTTGAAAAACACAGTCACTAGTGGTGGAACAACTGTACAGTCTCTCCTCAGGTGATGCAATTTGTAGATCACCTTGCATGTATTCTGGATAAAAATAAGTCATAATTGGAATTTTTTTTCTAATCAGAGGTTCTGAATTAGCATCATGAGAACGTAACCATTACAGAAATCAAAGAACAAATGCTATGAAGGATGTAGTGATGAGTTTCTACAGGTGAATGTAACTTGAACATAGAAACTTATCCTCATTCCAGTTCAAAAAGAAATGTCAAAATATGAGAAAATGTTTAAATATGGGAAAAAAATAACTATAGATCTGAGTCTTTCAGCAATGTCTGCCATGAACAGTACTGACTGCACTGATTACCCAGTACTTGACACATATTAGCCATTATCAGAACTCCCTGTCCCCTATAACCAGTCTGTAGCAATCAGAAACTGTTATTTTCTCTATATTATCTGATAAGAAATGAGAAGCACAAACCTTCCTGCCTAAGATCGCCAAGGTCTGAAAAGAAAAGAAGTTAACATAGGCAGTCTGGCTCCATAAGCTATGTAATCCTTAAAATAAAAGACCGCAAGCGTAGCATGGCTCCATCCCCCATCCTTGGCGAGGGATCTACCCATATAGGGCAGCAGACCTCTCCTGACTCACCCGCTGCTCCCCTCAGCAGTTTGTTTCAGTTATTCTGCCTGTTTTGTTCCCCACTCTGTCTCTGGTGAATCCTCTCACCCTCCACACCTCTGGCTCGCACCCCAGTTCTTGTATGCATAAATAAATAAATCTTTTTAAAATAGACAACTTTAACTTTTGAATCTATACTAAATTCATACAGCTAGAAAATAAACAAGTATTTGCTTTTGCCCCATCTATCCCACTACCATAACCCAGAGAGAAACATTTTGGTTTCTTGTGTATCTTGACTTTTAATGCAAAGAAATAGAAATATACACTTTTTTTGTCCTTTACTCTAATGAAACACAATATATTCCGATTTGTTTTTCACTTCATCACGCATTTTGGGAGCTAATTTAGAGTCGGCATATAGAGACCACTTTCCTCATTCTTTTAACTGTGTATTATATTGTCCTATGCATGGACCATAATTTCAACAAACCAATCTGCTGATGGCACAAGCTCTCATCTTTCCCCACTGCCAACACTGCTGCAACCAGCAACCCTTCCACCCCTATCATTTCATGCAAAAGCGGGTGTTCTAGTAGTATTCATTTTCATATGTGCAATAGCTGGGTCAAAAAGAAAATAATTTGGGCCTCCCTGGTAGCATAAGGGGTTAAGTCACAGCACTGTGCAGCTATCCTCAGCCACTTCAGCATGAGTTTGATTCCGGCCAGGGAGATTGTCCCTGCCAGGGAGGTGACTCACAAGGAAGGCTCAGTGGAACTCTCCTGACTTGCCCCTCAGCAGTGTATTTCAGTCGATCTGCCTGTTCTGTTCCCCACTCTGTCTCTGGCGAACCTTCTCACCCCCCACACCTCTGTCCTGTACTCCAGCTCTTGTATGCATAAATAAATAAATCTTTAAAAAAAATAATAATTTGTAGCCATAATATTGTCAAATTACCCTTTAGCGGTCTGCTTCGTGCTAATAATACACTATTTTAATGACTGATGATTATTCTATATTAAAATACACTGCCAATGACTTCCGGACTCCCTCACACCCCACTCCTTTTCTTTGTCAGGGTTTTTACTTGCTATTCTAGCTTGTCTATTTTTCCACATGAAGTGCAGAATCAGCAGATCTAGTTCTAAAAGAAAACTATAGATACTTTTAGGAGGGTCACATTATATTAGTAAATTTATTTAAATCTGTACACTCTTCTTTCTGTCTCCCTGTTGAAAAGCATTCATCTACTTGTTAGGGGGAAAAGGATGTCCCATTTTCCTTATTTCCTTTTCCCTTGTAAATAAACCTTTTATTAACCTTTTGTGTGTGTCTGTAGTGGAGTATTAATAAGTCCCTTTTAAGCGCGCGGGTGAGGACCCACAGCCAGGAACCCGTTCAAAATCGGGGCTGCTCTATAACATACTCACATCTTACGCAAAGCCCCTCGGTAGTATTTTAAAAAATATTTTCTAATAGCTTTGCATATTTCTTAAGTTTATTTATTTTTTTTTAATTGCTATTGTAAATTGAGGTTTTTCTCCTCTAACTGGCTGTTGTTTGCTTGAGGATTATTAATCTGATGCCAAAGCACTTTATATAACTCTCATTATTTAAAATTATGTACAGGGTAATTTTGAGTGGATTCCTTAGAAAAATCATCTTTGTGGACAGAAGTAATTTTCTTCGTTACTGCACAAAAGCCATACATTTAGGATTCATTCGATTAGGCCTTAAAATTTAGTCCTGATTCAGGGATAATAAGAGTGAGGATAACAGTACCTAGAAATGCAAATCCTTGACTCCCTAATCCTAGGTTTTCTGCATTACATGGCACTGCTTCTCAAAGTGCGCAACGATATTTAGTCTAGTACCTAATAGCAGTCCTACCAAAGTACCCCAAAGATCAGAGGATTTGAGATCGCTTTAAAGAGCTCCAACAAAAACTTCCCTTGACATATTTTTAAATCATTCCATCCCCCTCAGAAAGAAATGCGTTTTTACATAAAAATTCACTTTAAAATAATTTACCATTTAGGTTTATCTCCCTTCAAATCTTCAGATGCGCCAGAAAAATGGCCCCATTATTAGCACTTTCGACAAGGGAAGTGCGCCTCAGAAGTTATTATCTCCATGCAGGTCCCCTACATCTCCCTCTTACAGGCAGCCACACACAACCCTGCACCCACAGTTTGCTACTCAATATTCCCAAACATCCGGTCAAACTTGCAGTCCAACTCCGGGTCACACACGCTCCAATGCTGCGGAGGCCCCAACCCCCACCCCACATGTAGGCCAGAAGCACTTAAACCCACTCCCCACCCCCGCGCCGCGCCCCAAAAATTCAGAATCCTCCCCTTCAACCTTCCCGACCCGACCAGCCCGAGACGCCCACGTCCCACCTCCTACTTTCGCGCCACGTGGACCCAGGGGCCGGACTGACCCGCGGACAAAGACCAAAATGTCCACTCGTCGCGCTGCGCCTGCGCACTCCGAGGGTGAGCGAGTACTCCCAGAAGTCTCCGCGACGGGCCCGCACGGTCACCGCGGCCAGGCCCAAGCGGGTAAATTCGATTACCTTCTACCGCTGTTTCTCCGACGTTGGACTACATTTCCCCTAAGGCTTTGCTGGTCGACTCGCTCCCTCGGCCTCTACCTCGCGAACTTGGCTGCCTTTCCCCGTAATGATGGGGCCCTTAGAGTAAGCAGTCCTGCCTTGGAAGAAGATCAGCTCAAGCCCGATATAGGAGGTCCGGAGCGGGGACCCGCTCTTTGAGACCCGCCCCGGGCGCAGGCTCCAACAGGCCAAGCCCAAGCGCCGAGTTACGAAGACACCATCTTATCCGTGGCTGGTCTGGCTCCGGACTACATTTCCCACAGCCCTCCGCGGCCCGACTTTACGTCCCTCTTGACGTCGTGGCGAGCTCGTTAGCTCCGCAGGGACCCGGACGCGACCAAGGGGAGGCAAAAGGTGAGGGGTCTGGGAGTCCGGGGCGGGGACGGGGCGTGTCCAGAGCCTCGGGTGTGTGCGCGCAGGCGGGAGCGGCTGGGACGCGCGATGCTGAATGTCTGATCGTGGCCGTGGGTGTGGGTGCCTGTGATGTGCGCTTGTCACCGTCTCCAGGGTGTGTGTCTGGTTGTTTATGGAACCATGTGTGATACTGTGTGTGGGGCGTGTGCCCGCGACTGTCGGGGCTGGTGCTGCTTGTGTTCCCGTTGTGTCTGTGCGCCTTGTTTTGGGAGGTGTAAGTAGCTGTGACTGTGTACCTGTCAGTGAGGTTGCGATTGCAGGTGTCTAAGGTGGGTATATGGTTTGGGTGGCGGGGCATGGAGGCCGTGTAGTGATACTGTGTGTATATCCCTATTACATTCCTGGGGGGGTGTGTATGTGTTTGTGTGCGTGTGTGTTAAACGGTGGCTTGTGTGTGCTGCTGTGTGTGCAGGTGTGGGATGTCTTTGCCTGGGTAAGTGTGACTGTATGTGTCTCCAGAGTGAACATTCAGTTGTGACTCGACGCTCTGTGGGCTCACATAACAATTGTGTGTGTCCCCCAAGTGGGTTTGTGGTTGGGACGATATGAGAGTGACTCTGTGTCACTGGGATGAGTAGGTAATAGTAGGTAATGTGACTTGATTTTCAGTAGGTATGATTCGTGTCTGTATGAAGATGTGGAGTTGTCTGTGACCGTGCAGTTGTGTCCTTGGGTGTCTCAAGATCGGATGTGTGGTTGTGTTTGTCTGACAGTGACCATTTGTGCTGCCCCAAGTGCTTGAGTGTGAGTTGCCTGTGACTCCAGTGCTCGAATCCCTGCAGAACTTGTGAAATTGGAACAGATTGTGACCCTGGGCAGTGGTAACCTCACCCTTTCCCTGTGACGGACTTTCCTCCTCTGTGCCTGGGTTGGGGGGTGGGGGGATATGACAGTCTAGGCGACCTGCTCATGATTCTTTTTTCTTAACTCTTCAAAAGAGATGTTGAAAGGAAAAAAAAAGAATTGCTAATGAATGGTCAAAAACCAAGTTCAAGGTGTATTACTGTTTTTCATGATGTACTTTTCTTCTGAAACTTCTGCCTAGTGGCGACCCCACCACCAGCACCCAAAGCGACCTGGTCTCCAGTAACTGCCATTAAAATAAGTTTGGGGTGACCTGGAGGTGAACTCTGGAGGTGAACTGAAAGGTGCATATTGTCCATGCTCCCAGCACACTGATGTTCATTAAAAGCTTCTTTTTTAACTTTTCATTTTGTATCGGTTTTAGACTTAATACTGTTGCAAACTAGAATTGCCATGTGCTCTTAACCCAACACTGTATAAGTTATCTTACAGTAACATATCAAAACCAGATTAACACTAATACATTGTATGTGTCCATTTCCTCACATCACCATACTGTGGAATATCCTTTCAAATCTTTTCCAAACCGATAACTATAGAATAGTATTTCCTTATTACTTTAAATTGCATTCTTTTCATTATTAGTGACGCTTTAAGACTTTTGATTTTAGATTGATGAGTCACTGTATTCTAGCACTGAGACTTAACCCCTATGCCACTAGGAAGGCCCCAAAATAATACTACTTATCAAATTTTCTGTAGTATACCATAACCACACAGATTAGGGGTTAAGTCTCAGTGCTATCACCACTAAGGCCTGAGTTCAATCCCTGGCCATGGATGGCCATGGAGCTACCCACATATGGCACAGCAGACCTCTCCTGTCTTGCCTGCTGCTCTCCTCAGCAGTGTATTTCAGCAAATCCACCTGTTCTGCTCCCCACTCTGTGTCTGGTGAATCCTCTCACCTGCTTCCCTGCACCTCTGTTCTACACCCCAGTTCTTCTACACAAAAAAAAATTTTTTTTAAGATTTGTTTATTTATTTATACAAGCACTAGGTACAGTCAGAAGTGCAGTAGGGTGAGAGGATTCACCAGAGCCAGAGCAGGGAGCAGAGCAGGCAGAAGGACCGAAGTACACTGCTGAGGGGAGCAGCGGGCGGCAGGAGAGGTCTGCGCGCCATGTGGGACCCTCCTCCGGTGGCCAGGGAGCAGCCTGGGATCAAACCGGAACTGCAGAGGCTGCGGGCAGCTTCGCAACCCAACGCTCAACCACTGCGCCACCAGGGAGGCCCTACACAAAATTTTTTTTTTAATTCTTTTAAAAATAAATAAATAAAAATAAATAAATAAATAATAAAAAGCACTAGTTAAGAATTTTTGTTATCTAATAACAATTAATCTTTCACATTTTATCATTTGTCAAAATTTATATTTTTCTGCCATGTGTTCACAAAATACACATATTTGTCTAAAATATTTTTACAGTTATATAATTTTTATATTAAAAATTTATCTAGTTAAAATTTCTTTTTGGCTTATGCATGACCACATAATACATTATTAGGTCGAGAAATTTGTTAAATTCTTGAAGTTTTCATTGTGGTGGTGTACATTCATTGCAGTGTTCATGTGTCTCCCATACATATTTTATGACCAGATGACTTAATAATGAACAAAACCAAGATTGTTGCTTTTTAAGTTTAATGAGAAGATTCAAATAATTGCAAATATATAGTACAAGGTTTAATAGCCTTGAGAGCTATAAAGAAAAATAAAGCACAGAAGGCTAGAAAGAATGGTCAGGGGCAATATTTTAGATTGGTCACAAGGGTGAAAGTTTAAGATTTAAGCAGAAACCTTCATGAAGGGAGAGAAAACTGAAAAGAGGATTATCTCATCTAGAGCTGGTGTGTGTGTGTGTGTGTGTGTGTGTGTGTGTGTGCACGCGCACGCGCGCTGACCATGTATTGATAGTCCAGTATCACTTTGGAAATCATATCCCAGACCCCCCCCATGGTTCCACTGATCAGTCTCTGGGATGTGAGTTCATACATCAATCAACGGCCCCCTGGGCATTCCCAGTTAAACCTCATGATGCATACCCTTTGTCCCAGGTGATCAAGCTTTCTGTTTCTGATTGATTTGAAAGGCACTGTAGGGTCTGGTATACTACATTCTTTTAGGTCAGATAAATAATTGACCCGGCAGTTCTTACCTTGTATTGGAGAGCAGAATTGCACGTTACTAAGATGATGGCCAACCAGGCCGTTTAATTCTAGCAGACCCACAGGTGGTATCTCATTGTTAACTCTGTAGTTTTTTTTTTAAGATTTATTTATTTATGCATACAAAAACTGGGGTATAGGCCAGAGATGTGGGGGGGTAAGAGGATTCACCAGAGACAGAGTGGGGAATAGAACAGGCAGATTGTGTGAAATAAACTGCTGAGGAGAGCAGCGGGCAAGACAGGGGAGGTCTGCTGCTCCATGTGGGTAGCTCCCTGGCCAGGGATGTAACTCGTGCTGCAGTGGCTGCAGATAGCTTCATAGGTTGCGTCTTAACCACCAGGGAGGCCCTAACCCCGTAGTTCTTAATATTAGTGTTGTGTCGTGGGGCAAGGGGAGGGCACCAGAAGCAGAGCAAGGACACTGGATGGACAGTTGTTTTAAGCTTCTCTGTTTAGGGGTATTGGGGCAATACAGGTATATGAGACATGCGCCCCTCTCCCCCTACTCTGCTTTTTCAGGACTCTGCACTTGTCCAAGAGAAGAATCTAGAGCAATCAGAACAGCTCAGGTAGTTCTAAAAGCCATGGCCCAGGTAAGTTGAAAATTCCTCTGTCCTTAAAATAATCTGTCTTCCTTCCCGATCACAAGAACATTGGTAGTCTTGATCCTGAAACTTCCCTGTCTTGTTGAGCCCCATTTGGTAACCTGTGCCCAGTTCATCCATTCCAGGGAATGGTGCCCCATCCCACATCCCCAGGATATTCACACATGGATGCAATGCTTTCACCAGAGCTCCCAAGAAACAAAAATATGTGCTCTTGACAGAAGTGTGAGAGCCTCTCCCATCAAAGCCAGGATTGAAATTGGGCCGAAGTAACCAGGATCTTTTTCAATAACTTGGTGGCCCCCTTTTTTCTTCTGTTGCATATCACCTGTCTCTTAAAATATCACAAGCCATTTTATAATATCAAAAAATGTATGCAAAAAACCCAATAACATATATGAAATAAAGAAGAATAAAATAAGGGGCCTCCCTGGTGACCTAGGGATTAAGTCTTTGTGCTGTGACTGCCAAGGCCTAATTTTGATTCCTGGCTAGGGAGCTGACCCACATGGCACAGCAGACCTCTCCTGTCCTGCCCACTGTTCCCCTCAGCAGTGTATTTCAGTCAATCCACCTGCTCTGCTCCCCACTCTGTCTCTGGTGAATCCTCTCACGCCTTGCACTTCTAGCTTACGTAAACCCCTGGTTCTTCTACACATAAATAAATGAATCTTTTAAAAAAGAAGAAGAAAATAAGTATCAGTGTGTTTGTTCATCACCCAGATTAATCTACCATCTAAGCAACCTAGATCACATCACTCCCCATACTCCCATATCATTTCCACCAATCATAATGATGACTTTTAGTTTTGTGATTCAGTCTTTTGATTTTTATAAGTTTACCTTACATGAATGAATATAAAGCAGTATACTGCTGAGTTTTCTGTTTTTAAATCTGACGTAAAGTGTTATTATATCCTATATTTTTGACAAGGTCTCCAGATCTAACTACATTTTATAGAACATATGGAAGTAAAACAGAATGTTAAACTACACCATATTAGTACAATTGGCCCAATTCAGACTGTGGAAAGTTCTAATGGGCCAAATGTTTCTTTAAAAAATAGTGGGGCCTCCCCAGTGGCGCAGCAGGTTGCGTGCCACACTGTGAAGCTATCCACAGCCTCTGCAGCGCGGGTTCAATCCCCAGCTGGCCAGGGAGATTCCCACATGGCGTGGCAGACTTCTCCTGTCTTGCCAGCTACTCCCCTCAGCAGTGTCTTCGGTCCGCCTGCCTGTTCTGCTCCCTGCTCTGTCTCTGGTGAATTCTCTCACCCTTCCACACCTCTGACCTGTAACCCAGTGCTTGTATAAATAAATCTTTAAAAATAATAATAAAAATAGCAATAAAACTTTTTTTTTTTAAAGATTTATTTATCTGCATACAAGAACCAGGGTACAGGCCAGAGGTATGGGGGCGGGGGTGAGAGGATTCACCAGAGCCAGAGCAGGGAACAGAAGAGGCAGACTGACGAAGTACACTGCTGAGGGGAGCAGCGGGCGGCAGGAGAGGTCTGCACGCCATATGGGACCCTCGCCCAGAGGCCGGGGATCGAACCTGCGCTGCAGAGGCTGCGGGCAGCTTCCCAACCCAGAGCTCAACAGCTGTGCCACCAAGGAGGTCTAGCAATAAAACTCTTAAAGGGTCTGTGGGACCTGTTCGAGATTTGAGAGACTCTAGGAAACCTATCCACTGACTATATTTAAACAAACCAACTATGAAAGGATAACTTTTGAGAAATTTGGGGCAATTTGATTTGGTTATTAGAAAATCATTAATTTTGTTATGTATAGTAATGATATTCTAGTTAATATGGTTTTTTTGTTGTCTAATCTGATATACACTGAAGTATGTGTGGTTAAAATGCTTGCTATGTAGGATTTGCCTCAAAATGTACCAGGGGTTAAAAAATGAAAAGGAGAGGGCCTCCCCGGTGGCGCAGCGGTTGAGCGCTGGGTTGCGAAGCTGCCTGCAGCCTCTGCAGGGCCTGTTCGATCCCCAGCTGCTCCCCGGCCACCGGAGGAGGGTCCCACATGGCGCGCAGACCTCTCCTGCCGCCCGCTGCTCCCCTCAGCAGTGTACTTCGGTCCTTCTGCCTGCTCTGCTCCCCGCTCTGGCTCTGATGAATTCTCTTACCCTCCCGCGCTTCTGACTGTACCCAGTGCTTGTATAAACAAACAAATAAATAAATAAAATAAATCTATAAAAAATTAAAAAAAAAAAATGAAAAGGAGGTGGTGAAACAAGATTTGTAAATTTGAAGACAAGAGGTGGATTAATGGGGGACATTATACTGTTCTCTAGAGTTTTTATATTTTGAAAATCTTTTTTTTAAAAAGATTCATTTATTTATACAAGAACTGGGGTATAGTCAAAGGTGTGGGAGGGTGAGAGAATTCACCAGAGACAGAGTGGGGAGCAGAACAGGCAGAAGGACCAAAGTACACTGCTGAGGGGAGCAGCGGGCGAGACAGGAGAATTATGCTGTGCCATGTGGGTTTCTCCCTGGCTGGCCAGGAATCGAACCACACTGCAGAGGCTGTGGACAGCTTCACAGCATGGCACTCAACCTGCTGCGCCACCAGGGAGGCCCTATTTTGAAAATCTTTATAATAAAAAAAAAAGTCCTTTAACTTCCTAATAGCACATGGGTGCACTGTTTCAGGGATTGCTCACCTTCAGGGATGTGGCCATAGAATTTTCTCAGGAAGAATGGAAGTGCCTGGAACCCGCCCAGAAGGACCTGTATAAGGATGTGACTTTGGAGAACTTCAGTAACCTGGTGTCCCTAGGTAAGGGCATCGTACAATACAAGCCCAACAGGAAACAAGGCTGTACCACCTCAGGCCAGGAGGGGCTGGGGGGAGACACTGTCACCTGATGACTGTGCCCAGGCCAGAGTCACGGAGAGGGGCCCAGCTGGCAGACATTGTGGCTACCTCTGGAACTCCCGGGACAAAAGAGAGCAGGAGAATGGAGGAAATACCCTGAACTCTCTCTCTCATTCTATCCACTGATCTGCTGATGGTTTCCGTAGGCCAAACTCAAAGAGAAATGACAGGGCCGCCATGTATATCCAGGTAAGGCATGTGGGACACAGAGCTGGGCACAGAGCAGGACCAGATATGGACTGGTAGAGAAGAGGGCAATGCAGAATAACCATGGTAGTTACCTACTCCAGATAGTTAAGAACTAGTCATCTAGAATTTCTAGTTTTTTTCATGGTGAATTTCTAGGGAGGATTTCCACTCTCTGAGTAAATTTCTGCTCATGGTTCCCAAGGGCATTGTTGATGCTTTGTGGACATGGGATGGGTAATCTTAGTAGGGCCTCCATCTCCTCATAGTGTGGACAACCTTCACACCTTCCTCCTTCTAATTGCCTCTCCTCCCTGGTGACCATAGGACTGGGTTTGAGTTTGGGAACAGCATGGTCATGGCCCGTTTCTTACCCATAAACAGGACTTTCCATCTCTAAGCCTGATGTCATCTCCTTATTGGAGCAAGGGAAAGAACCCTGGATGATTGCAAATGATGGGACAGGACCAGGGTGCCCAGGTGAGCAAGGGCTGATACAGTGGGGGAGATCACTGGAAATCAGCCCACGGGTGAGTCAGCTGTCAGCAGTGCCTCGAATCACTCAAAGCCTTCCTGAAAAGTGCGGAATGAGGGCCAGAGACATGAAGACACGAAGAGCAGAGCCCTCGGCAGCATCCACTCCCAAGCGAACCTTTGCTCTTACCCCCACCAATTTCTCTCTGTTCTTTCTTCTTTCCCATTTCAAAAACAGATGTGCCATCTCCTTCCTGCCATGGCTGCCTTCTCGCCTGTCCTGTGGGTCATTTTTCCTGCAAGTTTCTTGATCCCTTAAAGGATACTTATTTTCTTTCCTTTTCCTTTTTTTTTTTTTAAGATTTATTTGTCTATTTATACAAGCACTGGGTACAGTCAGAAGCGCAGGAGGGTAAGAGAATTCACCAGAGCCAGAGCGGGGAGCAGAACAGGCAGACTGAAGAAGTACACTGCTGAGGGAAGCAGCGGGCGTGGCAAGGGAGGTCTGCGTGCCATGTGGGACCCTCGCTGGTGGGCTGGTGGCCGGGGATTGAACTGGCGCTGCAGAGGCTGCGGGCAGCCTTGCAGCCCAGCGCTCAACCACTGCGCTACCAGGAAGGTCCTAAAGATATTTATTTTCTTAAAGCAACTGCTCATTTTACCCAATTCAACAGTAATGCTTTGAGAGGTAAGGTTGAGTAGTAACTGAGAGCAGACTTTAGAATTTTTTGTCTGCCAACTACTAGCGTAGTGAATTTAGGTAAATGACTTAAATTCTCTGTGCTTCTGTAATTGGGATAGAAATAATGTCTTCTTCATTTAGCCATTAACAATACCAAGCAGGGCCTCCCCTGGTGGTGCAGGTGGATGAGCGCAGTGCTGTGAAGCTGTCTGTAGCCTCTGCAGCGTGGGTTTGATCCCAGCCAATGTGAATCCCACATGGCGCTGCAGACCTTTCCTGTCTCGCCCGCTGCTCCCCTCAGCAGTGTATTTCAGTCAGTCTGCCAGTTCTGTTCCCCGCTCTGTCTCTGGTGAATCCTCTCACCCTCCTAGGCATCTGGCCTGTACCCCAGCTCTTATATGCATGATTAAATAAATCTTAAAAAAAAAAAGTTATTAAAAAAAAATACCAAGCAGTAGTGACCACTATATAAATGTCAGTGGCATTACTCGCCACTTTCTGGACAATATTGGAAACTCTGAATACGTAATTATCAATTGCACTCCCCCAACTGCTCCTTTTTTGTCATTATTGTTATTTCTCCTCATTTCACCCACTGTTTTTTTTTTTTTAAGATTTATTTTATTGGAGGCCTCCCCGGTGGCGCAGCGGTTGAGCGCTGGGTTGCGAAGTTGCCCGCAGCCTCTGCAGCACCCGTTCGCTCCCCGGCTGCTCCCCGGCCACCGGAGGAGGGTCCCACATGGCGCGCAGACCTCTCCTGCCGCCCGCTGCTCCCCTCAGCAGTGTCCTTCGGTCCTTCTGCCTGCTCTGTTCCCCGCTCTGGCTCTGGTGAATTCTCTCACCCTCCCGCGCTTCTGACTGTACCCAGTGCTTGTACAAATAAATAAATAAATCTTTAAAAAAAAAAAAAAAAGATTTATTTTATTTATACAAGAGCTGGGGTACAGGAAAGAAGGGCAGGAACAGGCAGATGGGCCGAAAGCACTGCTGAGGGGAGCAGGGGGCAGCGGGAGAGGTCTGCGCGCCATGTAGGACCCTCCTCCGGTAGCCAGGGAGCAGCAGGGGATCGAACCAGCGCTGCAGAGGCTGCGGGGAACTTCGCAACCCAGCGCTCAACCGCTGCGCCACCGGGGAGGCCCTGGTATTTTTTTTTTTAATGTGTAAGTTTTCTGTGTTTTTTTGTTTTGCCTTTACATAGTATGATTTATGCATTTTCTTTTATTGCTTTTGAATTTTGAGTAATTGTTTCATTGTTAGAAAGATTTCCTCATACTTAGGTTATAAGGTAATCTATCATGTTTCCTTCCAATATTTCTATGGTTTCTATTTTCTTTTAACATTAAAACTGTATTTAGAGTTTATTCTGTACAGACTGATTTAATATACGGATCTAGGGCCTCCCCTGGTGGCGCAGCGGTTGAGCGCTGTCCGCAACCTCTGCAGCAAAGGCTCGTCCCTGGCCACTGACGAGGGTCCCACATGGCGCGCAGACCTCTCCTGCCGCGCCTGCTGCTCCCCTCACCAGTGTGTTTCATCAGTCTGCCTGTTCTGTTCCCCGCTCTGGCTCGAATGAATTCTCTCACCCTCCCGTGCTTCTGACTGTACCCAGTACTTGTGTAAATAAATAAATAAATCTTTAAATAAAATAAAATAAAATATGGATCTACTTTTATCTTTTTTCCCAAATGGCCTCTGCTGTCTGGCCCACTGCTCCCCTCAGCAGTGTATTTCAGTAGATCCTCCTGTTCTGTCCCCACTCTGTCTCTGGTGAATCCTCTCACCCCCGCACCTCTGGCCTACACCCCAGCTCTTGTATGCATAAATAAATAAAAATAAATCTTGAAGAAAAAAAAAGAAGAGGAAAGCAGCTAGTACTCGTTTCTCTTTTCTTTTTTTCAGATTTGGGGTCTAGGTGTGAGAAATTTCCACAGAAAGATATGTTTGAAGTAGACTCATTCAACTGGGAGATCATGGGCAACCTTAAAAGCTGTGATTTTGAGGGCTCCAGTTTTAGAGGTGCCTGGGACAAGTGCCTGTTTGAAAGACATGTCAATCAGGAGTGCTGTTTCAAGCAAGAAAAGGTCAGCTATGGAACCATGCCCACCTTTGAGCACCACCCACCCCTCGCTCATCAGAGGAGTGAGACTGGTGAGAAATTGATGGGATGTAACGAATGTGGCAAAGCATTTAGTCGCGGCTCACACCTTGTCCAACATGAGAAAACTCACACTGGTGAAAAGCCCTTTGAATGTAAGGACTGTGGAAAATCCTTCAGTCGTGCCTCACACCTTGTTCAGCATCAAAGAATCCATACAGGGGAGAAACCTTACAACTGTAAGGACTGTGGAAAGGCCTTTGGGCGGACGTCAGAACTTATCCTTCACCAGAGACTCCATACTGGTGTCAAGCCCTATGAATGTAAAGAATGTGGAAAGTCCTTCAGGCAGCACTCTCAGCTTATTCTGCATCAAAGAACTCACACGGGCGAGAAACCCTATGTGTGTAAAGACTGTGGGAAGGCTTTCATTCGTGGCTCACAACTTACTGTTCATCGCAGAATTCATACAGGTGCTAGGCCCTATCAGTGTAAAGACTGTGGGAAAGCCTTTAGACAGCACTCCCAGCTCACTGTCCACCAGAGAATCCACACTGGTGAGAAACCCTATGAATGCAAAGAGTGTGGAAAGGGCTTTATTCATAGCTCGGAGGTCACTCGCCATCAAAGAATTCATTCTGGGGAGAAGCCCTACGAGTGTAAGGAATGCGGGAAAGCCTTTAGACAACATGCACAGCTAACCCGACATCAGAGGGTTCACACTGGCGACAGGCCCTATGAGTGCAAGGACTGTGGGAAAGCCTTCAGTCGGAGCTCATACCTCATTCAGCATCAGAGGATTCATACAGGTGACAAACCCTACGAATGTAAGGAGTGTGGGAAAGCTTTCATCCGTGTTTCACAGCTTACTCATCATCAGCGAATTCATACTTGTGAGAAACCCTATCAGTGTAGGGAGTGTGGAATGGCCTTTATTCGGAGTTCACAGCTCACTGAACATCAGCGAATTCATCCCGGTATCAAGCCTTATGAATGTAGAGAGTGTGGGCAGGCCTTTATTCTTGGCTCACAGCTCATCGAACACTACAGAATCCATACTAGTTAGAAAGCCCTGAATGTCTGAGATGTAGGAGAGCCTTTATGTGGAATTCACACCCGACCCATTAGATCCTGCATAATGTCATTAACTAATGTCAGAAAACCTTCACTTGTTGCTTCCATATGGAACATCAGAAAACTCACGCTAGAAGAAGATTCAATAAATATGGGAATTTTTTTTTTTTTTTGCCTCATATTCAGTGTTTGTTAGTATCAGAGAACTTATGCTGGAAAAAATATTAATATGAATGTAAAAAAGTCTTGTTACCATTCAAAAATGTATTAAGCTTCTGACAATTCCTAATGGGATATGACCTTATTAAAATATTCTGTGAATGTGCCTTTCACCTGGTATACATCTTCTAGAACTTTCTCTCAGTTCCACCAGTTATTGACTATATATCATTGGGAAATTATGCACTCTCTCTGTTCCTCAGTTTATTTTTCAGCAGTGATAATTATACCTATCTAATAGTTTTTTTATGAGGACTATTGGATGTTTTATATAAAGCCAATGCTTAACAAATATTATTGTTATTAGTACGGTATTACCGTCGAGTGCATGTGAGGGGTGGACTTTATCAATGTGTCAAATATGAAAATGCCTTCATTGCCACTTGTGATAGTTCATTCTCAAAAACAATAGTAAATTGTAATTATCCTGAGAATGCCTTCAAGAGGTTAGAAGTTCAGGAGATAGGACCTTCAGCCACCTGCTCATAGGTGCCGGATCAGTAGAGGATTGTACACCCTGTCTTTTAACTGGAAAATCAGAAATTTATAGTAGAGCAGCCAAAAGAAATCTGCCTATTTTCAAACCTAAAACCATCTCCAAGCATAACTTCATTAAAAGAGAATTCAAAACTAAAATTACAGGGCCTCCCTGGTGGTGCAAGGGGTTAAGTCCCAGCACTATGAAGCTATCATCAGCCACTACAGCACTAGTTCGATTACCCACATGGTGCAGCAGACCTCTCCTGTCTCGCCCGCTGCTCCCCTCAGCAGTGTATTTCAGTCAGTCTGCCTGTTCTGCTCCCCAATCTGCCTCTGGTGGCTCCTCTCACCCCCCACACCTCTGGCCTGTACCCCAGCTCTTGTATGCATAAATAAATATTTAAAAGGGCCTCCCCGGTGGCGCAGCGGTTGAGCACTGGGTTGCGAAGCTGCCCGCAGCCTCTGCAGCGCCGGTTCAATCCCCGGCTGCTCCCCGGCCACCGGAGGAGGGTCCCACATGGTGCGCAGACCTCTCCAGCTGCCCACTACTCCCCTCAGCAGTGTACTTTGGTCCTTCTGCCTGCTCTGCTCCCTGCTCTGGTTCTGGTGAATTCTCTCACCCTCCCGCGCTTCTGACTGTACCCAGCGCATGTATAAACAAACAAATAAATAAACAAATAAATAAAAATACATGCCTCTTTAAAAATAAATAAATAAATAAATAGATAGATATTAAAAAAAAAAACCCTAAAATTACACTAGAAATAAATGAGTGAATTCTGTGCATCAAAAACTAGGTCAGGGCCTCCCCGGTGGCGCAGCGGTTGAACGCTGGGTTGTGAAGCTGCCCGCGGCTTCTGCGGCGCCGGTTCGATCCCCGGCTGCTCCCCGGCCACCGGAGGAGGGTCCCACATGGCGAGCAGACCTCTCCTGCCGCCCGCTGCTCCCCTCAGCAGTGTGCTTCGGTTCTTCTGCCTGCTCTGCTCCCCGCTCTGGCTCTGGTGAATTCTCTCACCCTCCCGCGCTTCTGACTGTACCCAGTGCATGTATAAAACAAAACAAACAAACAAACAAACCAGCAAACAAATAAATAAAGCATGCCTCTATTAAAAAAAAAAAAAAAAAAAAAAAAAAAAACTAGGTCAGTGTAGGTAAAGCTGTACTCGTGTCAGAACCCAAGGACTGAAGGGGAGGGGGAGAACGAATCTACATTTATCCTTCAAATGAAGCTCTCCAGGCCCTCCTCATTGCCAGTCACCCATTAAAGCATGTTGAATGAATGGTCAGCTCTAAAACTTAGGAGAAATGACCACACAAACCCAAGTTAATAGAATGCTAGGGCCTCCCTGTGGCGCAGCGGTTGAGCGCTGGGTTGCGAAGCTGCCCGCAGCCTCTGCAGAGCCAGTTCAATCCCCGGCTGCTCCCCTGCCACAGGAGGAGGGTCCCGCATGGCGCACAGACCTCTCCTGCCGCCCGCTGCTCCCCTCAGCAGTGTACTTCGGTCCTTCTGCCTGCTCTGCTCCCCACTCTGGCTCTGGCGAATTCTCTCACCCTCCCGCACTTTTTTTTTTTTTTTTTTTAATCAACAGATTCTTCCTTTTTTTTTTTTTTTTTAAATTTACCTATTTATTTATACAAGCACTGGGTACAGTCAGAAGCGCGGGAGGGTGAGAGAATTCACCAGAGCCAGAGCGGGGAGCAGAGCAGGCAGAAGGACCGAAGGACACTGCTGAGGGGAGCAGTGGGCGGCAGGAGAGGTCTGCGCGCCATGTGGGACCCTCCTCCGGTGGCCGGGGAGCAGCCGGGATCGAACGGGCGCTGCAGAGGCTGCGGGCAGCTTCGCAACCCAGCGCTCAACCGCTGCGCCACCGGGGAGGCCCCCTCCCGCACTTCTGACTGTACCCCGTGCTTGTATAAATAAATAAATAAATCTTTAAAAAAAAGTAGTTAGAATGCTGCTTAAAAATAAAGTAAAGAGCAGCAGAATTTCATCTGAAGGTTGTTTAATAATGTAATTAGAAGAATGGCAGGCCTGATCTAGAATAAACACAGCATTATGAATGAAGAAGGGGTGGGTATTTTTTTTTTTTAATCTTTTTTTTTTTTTTTATAGAGGCATGTTTATTTCTTTATTTATTTGTTTTGTTTGTTTGTTCTGTTTACACATGCACTGGGTACAGTCAGAAGCGCGGGAGGGTGAGAGAATTCACCAGAGCCAGAGAGGGAAGCAGAGCAGGCAGAAGGACCGAAGTACACTGCTGAGGGGAGCAGTGGGCGGCAGGAGAGGTCTGCGCGCCATGTGGGACCCTCCTCAGGTGGCCGGGGAGCAGCCGGGGATCGAACCGGCGCCGAAGAGGCCGCGGGCAGCTTCGCAACCCAGCGCTCAACCGCTGCGCCACCGGGGAGGCCCAGGGGTGGGTATTTTTAAATCACTACTGTAAGTGTCTTTATTCTAATGTATTTGAAAACTTAGAGAGAATGAGTTTTTACAAAAAATAGCAAGGTGGTTCAAGAGGATGTGGAATACCTAAAGAAACCGATGATAGGACATAAGTCATCAAATCTCCATCCCTTGAAAAATACAGTTAACCTTCAAAAACTTCAAGGGACAGCTCATCCCCAGGAAACTTCTCAGTGATTGTCAAGGCTAAGTAAAATTATTTAAAAATTGAACAAGCATGATTCCATAAAATCAAATTGTAGATGGTTGTTATTGATGGAGATAAAAGACTAATTAATCCAATCTATTAAAATCAAGGAGCTAATTTTAAATGAAATTTCTGAAATTTCACCTGTTCTGGATTATGGTTTTAGAACTTTAATTTTTTTTTTAAATATTTATTTATTTACGCATATAAGAACTGGGGTACAGGCCAGAGGTGTGTGTGGGGGGGAGAGGATCACCAGAGACAGAGTGGGGAATAGAACAGGCAGATCTACTGAAATACACTGCTGAAGGGAGCAGTGGGCAAGTCAGGAGAGGTCTGCTGTGCCATGTGGTTAGCTCCCTGGCCGGGGATTGAACTCGTGCTGCAGGAGCTGTGGATTGCTTAATGGTGCTGACGCTTAACCCCTTGTGCCATCAGGGAGGTCCCTAGAATTTTAATATTATAACTGCAGGAGCCTCCCTGGTAGTGCAAGGGGTTAAGCATCAGCACTATGAAGCTATCCACAGCTACCACAGCACCAGTTTGATCCCTGGCCAAGGAGCTACACACATGTCACAGCAGACCTCTAGTGTCTCACTCGCTGCTCCCCTCAGCAGTGTATTTTAGGACATCTTCCTGTTCTGCACCCCACTCTGCCTCTGGTGAATCTTCTCATCCCCCAATCCCCAAAATTTATGCATATTTTGTATACATAAATAAATCTTTAAAAAAATATATCGTAACTCCAGAAGATGACAATGTGGGGAAAGTGCCTTGATCCAAACCTAAACATCTCAATTAGGGCTTGGGGATGAGGCTGAGGAATCTCAAGATACAGATCCCCTCGGCCCCATAGCCAGGCAGTGCTGGGCAGGGGACCTGTGCTCAATAAAAGCACCTGCATTTTCCACATGTGCCACTGGCAAAGGAAGACTGTAAAAAGAAGTACTTTTCTCTACGGGGTTAATTATTAGGATGTGCCACTGAAGGGACCCAAAGCTATGATGTCAAAAACTGTCACTTTGAATAGCTGAAGCCTGTACAGGACAAAAAAAAATGTGAAGGTACAATTCGGTATACAAACATCAGTCACATCTCTCTGCCCCTCCCACCACATTAGCAGTTATGCAGCAGTCACTGATATCAGGTTCTCCATATACTTACTGATTTTTATATTTGCTTAAGCATAGGCATACACATAACATACTCCATAAAAAAAAACAACACCTATACAAATGGTAGCCAGTTTCTTTACATTGCTGTCTTTTCTTATCCATGTATCATAAAACTTGGACCATATCAATCCATATGCAGTTGCCTTATTTTTTAAAGGCTGCATAGTGCTCCAGCAGATGTTTGTTTAATAATTTATTTAACCGTATCGATTTAGTGTTTTTTTATTTTTTGCTCTTTAAAGCAATCCTATAATAAATATCCTTGCACATAAGTTATTTTGCATGTATATGATGTATCTTTAAGATAAATTCCTAGAGGGCCTCCCTGGTGGCCTAGGGGTTAAGTCTCAGTGATATTTTTTTTTTTTTAATAGAGGCATGTTTTTTTATTTATTTGTTTGTTTGTTTTTGTTTATACACGCACTGGGTACAGTCAGAAGCGCGGGAGGGTGAGAGAACTCACCAGAGCCAGAGCGGGGAGCAGAGCAGGCAGAAGGACCGAAGTACACTGCTG